TGTGTCTGTGTCTATATATATATATATATATATATATACACACACACACACACACACACACACACATAGCTTTTAGTCTTTATTCTGTCTATATACTCATCCTATATACACTATACAGTATCTACTGTATATACACATATACTTTTATTGTCAAGGCTGCATTAAATAGATCAAAAGTTTATACATTTATAATGTTATGAAAGATTTGTATTTAAAATAAATGCTGTTCTTTTTAACTTTCTGTTCATCAAAGAATCCTTAAAAGAATGTATGATGGTTTCCACAAAAAAATATGAATTAGAACTATTGTTTTCAAAATTGATTTCAACATTGAAATTCAGAGAAATAAATTATATTTTATAATATATTAAAATCTAAAACAGTTATCTTGAATTGTAATAATATTTCAAAATATTACTTTTTAATGTATTTTTATTTTTATTACATTTCTGATCAAATAAATGCAGCCTAGGTGAGCATAGCTGTTGAACGTTAGTGTATGTTTTTAGATTTTAGTTGACAGAATGTGTTTATTTAAAAAAAAAGACTTGAAGTTGTTTCCCCAGATTATGCATCAGCTTTGTTACCCTCCTTTTTAAAGTAATGAGCTATTCCATAAATCAAAAAAAAACTTTCTCATCATCCTCCTTTCAGGAAGTGAGCTCTTCAAAGACAAGTCTCACTCATTTATTATCATTTTATCTTGTTTTGTTTCACTTATTAGGTCTTCAAATGTCAACACCGTTACCATAATTTTCTGTATTAATCAAATGTGCAAATCCTTAGATTTTAGTTGACAGAATGTGTTTATTTAAAAAAAAGACTTGAAGTTGTTTCCCCAGATTATGCATCAGCTTTGTTACCCTCCTTTTTAAAGTAATGAGCTATTCCATAAATCAAAAAAAAACTTTCTCATCATCCTCCTTTCAGGAAGTGAGCTCTTCAAAGACAAGTCTCACTCATTTATTATCCTTTTATCTTGTTTTGTTTCACTTATTAGGTCTTCAAATGTCAACACCGTTACCATCATTTTCTGTATTAATCAAATGTGCAAATCCATAAGTAGATATTTATCCGTTCTAAAGGCATAACAATATAATAACATAGTCAAATTTATTAAATTAGTTTGACATAGCTCAGTGCAGTTTATTAGCAGTTTATTAGACAAATCTGATAGATGACATTGTTTCTCATAATATTGAGTTATAGAAACAGTTTATACTAAATATAATTTTTCTTACTCGAGGCCTGCCGTTTCTTCATTTATCACGATGCAGGGCCAGCAGAGCGCTTTTCCTAATTGGCATTCTTTTGTGGAATAGGATAATTAACAGCTCCATTGTGAAGACAAAGGAAAGCTGAGCTCCAGGGCATTTTCACACACATTGGCTATTAGCAGACAGAGGAAGAAAGATGGTTTTTGAGTTCTTAATCCATCTTCTCCTCTGCGGTTTTGCAGTGTGAAATGGGTCTGATGTGCCAGTTCATATATTGCATCTTTGTTTGTGTGCGTGTGTGTGTGTGTGTGTGTGTGTGTGTGTGTGTGTGTGTATGTGTGTGTGTTTGCATGTAGCTGAGGAATAGCCTGAGGCCGGATCTGTGTGTGGATCAAGGTCCCGACTCTGACAACGTTCCCATCCTGTACATCTGCCACGGCCTGACGCCTCAGGTTAGTATCCAGTCCACTGCACCTTCTGGCTTTCATCCTTTTTCAGTCATCAGATCAGAGCATGTGTAATTAATTTATATGTAAGTGCTCATGTCTGACTCCATTATGTCTTCTGCTTCTCCTTCCATGTTTCTCACTATATCTGCATAGTACGTGACATTAAACATGTCTAAGAACTTATTTTTGGCCTAGAGATCAAGAACAGGAAATAACGGGTAGAAATGGGTAGAACAGGACCAGAAAACATTACGAGTTTATTTGAACCTGCATCACCTTTGTACACACGTGGCTAAGTGTTTTAGAGCATGTGTGTCATTATATCATTATTTATCAATTATTAAAAAAAAAATGTTTTAATATTTAAATATTAGATATTTTATATATTGCTAAAAAATACTGTATATTAAAATATTACACAAAATTATTTATTTTATCATAATATGAATTATTATTAAATATTTTATATGATTCCTGCAATCTACAGAGGTTAAGCATTTTGGAGAATGGATGAATTTTATGTAATTGTTCTCTCTCTCTCTCCCTTTATATATATATATATGTATGTGTGTGTGTGTGTGTCTGTGCAAATATAGATATACATTTAAGTTCCCTACTAGCCAGAATATGTTTGCATCATTTACAGTACATTTCATGTCTGTTTGCACACTTAAACTGACTTCAATCATTCTGATAGGATGTGAGCAGTAAGAGTATATCGCCGTCTCTGTACTTGTGGTGCTGGATTTGTTTTATCTTTAATGGGCCATCAGACAATACCTCAGCTAAGCGTATTAACACTGTGGCAGTTACAGCGATCTGTCTCGACACATTAAAGAGCCACAAAACAGTATTGTTTGAATTTCTTACAAAATGACCAAATTTGAAAGCTGAGACTTTGTTTCATACCTGTAACATACAAGTAACCTGCTCTGTCTTTTTTTGTCAGCGTGTTGTCAGTGTACTCTGAAACAAAATATTTTTGTCACTACACAAAGGTGTTAATTACAATTGACATATTCATTTGAATATGATTCTTCCTTCAGTTTGTTTAGTGAAAAAAAAAGTAACACAAATTAAGAGATTAAGTATGAGATTTTTTTAAATTTCTAATTTAACTCTAATTTAAAAAAAGTTGTTGGATACTTTGGTTCATTTATGTGAATCAGTTCAAATTGTCCATTCCAATTAATCAATTCATAACATAATCGATTGATGACTTCATGAAGCAAAACATTTAATTGTGTCACCACACAAAAATGTGAATTAAAATGTAGATATTAATCTTAATATGATTTATCCTTTAGTTATTTCATTTAGTGAAAACAGTGTAGAAAACATGCATTGATTCATTTTAATATATACAACTACGGCTGTTATAAATATTTTAAACCATTTAAGAGCAAACACATAAATACTGAGATACCAAAAGATTGGAAAATATAAACATTGAATTTGTATAGCTATATCATTCATCCTTATTCCCATCTTCTGTACAAAGGCTCTGCACACTTCAGTTGTTTAATTCATGGTGAAAATGTGAGTTAAAAGACATTTCTTACTTTGGCTTGTATGCGCTTGGCTTGCGCTTTCCCATCTTCCCGTCACAATTGATCTCAGTGTTTCACAGTAATACACTGTCAACTTATTGCAGCCCATAAAACCGTCATTGTATTGCATAAAACCTCTTCATTATTTTGTGCTGAGGCCCGAAATATGAATTTTTGAACAGTTGGGCTGCTCGAGGCAATCCAGTCTGTTTTTGTTTTTGTTTGTTCCTGTTCTTATTCCTAGTGTATTACACAACCAGGTTCCACAACAAACGATATCCTGCAAAAAATACTGTAAAGCTCGTTCTTTCTTTCAGTGCGTATCTCCCATTCATTGGGCAAAAGGAACATTGTTCCCATACAACAGCCATAAATCTCTCTAGAAGTCAAAAAGCAGACTTTTCCTCAAGCAGAAACAGTGCTAAATGAGTCCCTAGCAAGTTGAGTCCTTATTTTTCTTCTCTCTTATATTATTCCCTGTCCCATTTTAGCCCTCCATCCCTTCCTGTCACAGATCCAGTGCTCATTAAAGGATCCCGAAGGATGTGCATTGTTTCCATTGTGAATGAATGATTAGTTGTTTTATGTTTCCGTGGAGATGCACTCGCTGCCTGTTCAGCCTTTGTGTTCACAGAGATTTTCATTTCAAGGTGCCTCACAAAAGAGTAGTTTTGCATTGGTGCCATTCCAAAGTTAAACAATTTGATTTGATTTTACTGTAGGCTCAGGTGTACCGCTGTATTCTGAGAAAAAATGTCTTGACACACATAATCAGTCTCAGTGGAAAGCATGGTAGCTCCCAAACGATACCTGAGATCAGAATTGATTTGGACCTGAGGAGAAGAGGAGAATGCCTAGCTCTGTATCAGATATTGCAGAACTGATTGTAACAAATTTTGGATAGCCAAAAATCGGTCTGGACGGTATACAACCAATTTAATCTATGTATTTGAGAGAAGTATTGATGAGCTATCTAATGTTAGCACTTCTCAGGCTCAGGCTTTTGAAGTGAAATATCAATCCATCCGGACCCTGAAAAAAAATGTGGGCATATTGCATGAAATGAATTCTTTCTGAAAGTGCTTGTTTTTCAGTAAGGCGAGGGATTAAGTACGAGTGCTATTGATTCAGGACATGGCCCAATGTGGTCCAACGAAATGTGCATTAGTGATTTAAAGCAAGTGTTCAATATCAGAGACTTTCCTTT